GGCTTCGACTTCGGCTTTAGCTTGGGCTTGGGTTGTGACCTATCTGAGTTGCTCTTGGTAATTCTCGTGTAAGAATATTAGTGCAATTTTTATACTTATTACGTTTTGCCCACAGTTTCTCTCCAATTTCAATTGAGTTCGTTTGACTTTCAATATTGTGAGTGTTTTCATAGTTCTTATTTATGAATACACTAATGATGCCAGATACCCATCAGCTTCAAGCTCCTGCAAAGCCTAAAAAGGGGCCACTGATATCAGATGAGTGTGCATTCTTCCATCAAGAGGCCATTGGAAGTACGATTGTCTCAAGAAGAAACATTCGTCCACTTCGCAATCTCAGCCACACTTCCGAGTTCCTACTCAACGTACTTTTTGACCTCCAACTACTTATATTGCCTCTACTTTAGCTCATGATCCTAACTTGGCTTCCTTGAGTGCTCAGATTGCTCAACTTCAGCATATGTTGTCCTCCACTTTCCAACCATCCTCATCTGCCTTCGCTTACCTCCCGTAATTTAGGTTGGCGTGGGTCTTCTTCAGTCTTTCCTTTTGTTTGGATTTTTGACTTTGATGCCTTTCATCATATGACTCATCATCTCTCCTTACTCCACAACTGTATTCCCCTTCCCTTTCTTATCACTGTTAATACCGCAAATGGATCTAGTATGTTTGTTTTATCTGTTAGGTCTGCCCTACCTTTTACTATGTCTGTTGTCACTATTCCCTTTGTCTTTTATGTACTACAGTTATCTGTCAGTTTGTTATTTATCAGTCAGCTCGATGCTTCCGGTCTTGATGTTATCTTTTCTTCTTCTATTTGTTGTGTGCAGGATTGGTTGTCCAAGCGCTAGATTGGGATTGGTCGTAGAGTTAGAACCTCTATGTGGTAGAGAGCTTGTATCTGCCTTTGATGAATTCTCTAACTGTTTTTTCCTCTTTTCAGTTAAATTTTCTGTCAAGTCATTTTTATTTGTGGCATTCTAGCTAGGCCATTTGTCTACTGACTGCTTACAATCTTTAATTCAATCAGATTTGTTGCGTAAAGTTTCTCCTAATCAACTTACTGAATGTTGGAAGTGTAAACTTGCCAAAATGACAGCCTTATCTTTTATGAAAAGTACTTCTATTTCTAACACACCATTTTCTTTAGTGCATATTGATGTCTGGGGACCTTCTCTTGTTCTCACTAAAAGGAGTTCTACGTACTATGTATCATTTGTTGATAATTGCACCCGTTACACTTGGGTTTATCTTATGACTCATAAGTCTGACTTCTACCACATATACCATGCATTTCAATCTATGATCAACTACACAGTTTGAGTCTACTATTAAAAGTTTGCGGTCTGACTTGGTAGAAAATATTTTAAAACTAGGTTTTGTGAGTATTTGGCCAATTTGAATACCATTCACCAAACCTCATGGCAAGGTTGAACGTAAACACCGTCATCTACTAGAGATTGCTAGGTCCTTTCTTCTCTCTCCTTCGATTCCTATCCCATTTTGGGGAGAGACAATTCTTACTACTACTTTTCTTCTCAATCTTATGCCTATCCCCCTTCTTTCTGATCGCTCCCCTTATCAGGCCTTGTTTTCCCAAGTTCCAAATTATTCCCTCCTTCGCGTCTTTCGGTCTGCCTGTTTTGTCCTTCCCCAAAAAGATAGAACCATGCTTAGTACCCAGTCTGTTCTCTGTGTATTTTTTAGATGTAATCTTATTAAAAAAGACTATCGCTATTATAATCCCGTATCCTGCCATCTTTATGTCTCCCACCATGTTAACTTCCTCGAATGCCTGGCTTATTTTCAGTTTCCTCACACCACTATCTCTGTTTCTAGAGAAGATTTGGTTCACATTGATCCAATTCCTTCTAAGGTTCCATTTGATGAGTATGTTTCTACTGTCCCTCCTAAACATTTTCCCACTTCACCATCTCCTGCTCGTGTTTCCCCTCGTGTTCCATCTACTCCTTATGTTCCCCATCATGTTCTGTCTCCTTCATTACTAGTCTGTTCTCATCGCAAGGTTTTATTCCCCCACGAGTTGTCTCCTCTCCTATTGCTACTCTTCTTGCTTCCGACAACAATGATCCTATTGTACGCCAGTATCCTAATAATGAATGTCATCCCCCAGTAAGATTGGGTTTTTCTAATACATGTTTTCTCCTCCGTACTATACCTTCTTGTCTATTGTTCATTCCTTTTTAGAACCCTAGTCTTACAAGGAGGCCTATCAGGATCCTAATTGGGTTCAAGCTATAGAGGACTATGAAGCATGAGTACTTCGAAAAACATGCCGTATCCGTACCGGGTACTTACCGGCATACCGTACCTCGTATGGTACTTCTGCATACGTACTGGGTATACGAAACACGTACCCAAGTTTTTTCTTCTTAATTTTTGACGTACCAAAACGTACGTAGTATATATCCAAGCAGTACCGTACCTCAGTTAAAATAATATTTTTCTTCTACTGCAAAGATAAAACTCATTTCACTAGATTTCTTTTTTAGTTTTTGTTTTATGCTTGGCATGATTTTAAAATTAAACTATGGTTTGTAAGTTATTTAATATATTGACATTTAATTTTGATTTATACTTTTCCTTTTGGCATTAAATGTTAATTATAGATTGGACGTTAACAAATTAAACCATTTAATTAATTTTTTGAATTACTCTAAATTAAAAATAAATATTTTTTTACAAGCGTACCAAGTCGTACCCGTACCTTATTTTTTTTGAATTTTACCGTATCGACGTACCCGTATCGTACCCGTACCAGTACCAGTACCAGTACTCGTGCCCGTACCTGTGCTTCATAGATGGAGGATGAGTTGTCTGCATTGTAGAAAACTACTATTTGAGAATACTTGATTTTTGTTGTTTACAGATAATTGCGTTCAAGCTATGGAGGATGGCCATTAAGAAAAGCATTCTTAACATCCATCCTTGACTTTTGTGACTGTTGTTCGCCATTGGCCTCTATATCAAATGGATATTGAGAACACTTTTCTTAATGGTCATATCACCGACGAAGTCTACATTCGTCCTCCCCCTAGCCTTTAACATACCTCTAGGCAGTTTTGTCGTCTTCGGCGTGGTCTTTATGGTTTGAAGCAATCTCTTTGTGCTTGAAATGATCGCTTTCAAATAGTTGTTACTCAGCTTGAGTTTCATCCTTGTACTCAGGATTCTACTTTGTTTCTCCTCCACCCCTCCGCTGGTTTTATTGTCCTGTTACTTTATGTAGATGATATGATCATTACTGACTCTGACTCTTCTGCTATCTCTGAAGTCAAATAGTATCTTTTTCACACCTTCAAAATGAAGAATATGAACAATTTGCAGTATTTTCTTAGTATTGAGGTTGCCTATTCTCCCCAGGGATAATTTCTCTCTCAAGCCAAGTATGCAAATGAAGTTGTTCACCATACCGGTCTTTCTGATACTAAACTTTTCTAATTGCACGATTGAGCTTAATATGAAGCTTAACACTATTGCTGGTGTCCCTCTGGATGATCCTACTTTATATCAAAGTGTTGCTTAGTCTGTCTGATTGTCACTTGCCTGATCTTGCCTATTTTGTTCATGCAATTAGCCAATTCGTTTCTGCCTCTCGTTCTACACATTAGGCTCCTTTGGTTCGGATTCTTTACTATCTTTACAATACTATCTCTCAGGGCTTGCAGTACTATCTCTCAGGGCTTGCGCTTATCTTCTACTTTCTCTTTGGACTTCATAGCTTATGCTGATTTTGATTAGGCTACTGATGTCAATAATCGCAAGTCTACTTCTGGTTTCTATATGTTTCTTAGTGATTCTTTGATCTCTTGGAAAAGCAACAAACAAAGTATTGTTGCTTTTACTGCTGAAGCTGAATTTTGGGCTATGACATATGCCACTGCTAAGACTGTCTGGCTTCATTGTCTTTTATCTGATTTAGGCGTTCCTCAATCCTCTCTGACCTCTGTACTGTGACAACCAAAGTGCTATTCAGATTGCTCATAACACTGTCTTTCATGAACGAACGAAACACATTAAGACTGATTGTCACTTCATCCGTCAACATCTACAGTCTGTCTCTTCGGCTTTGCAACTTGCGACTTTTTTACCAAGACTCACACCACTATTCAATTTCGATTTCTTCTTGACAAACTTTCAGTGTTTTCTACTAAAATACCTTAAGTTTGAGCGGGGATGTGAGAATATTAGTGTATCTATATAGATGGTAGTATATCTTTTTGTGAGAGATTATGTAAATATGCTCTTTCAATTTTAGTCTTAGGGTTATGATTGTTATATAATCAGATGTATTCTTGAATAACAAGCATATTTAAATATACAAGTTTATTTAGAAACTTACACTATGATCACCAATGAGGACACAAGTCAACCAAATAATATTGGAAGTCCACATATCTAATTGAACGGCTGAAAGATTATGACTTGTCTAAATTATAGATTATGACTTTAATCAGAAGCTGTTAATCTGGTTGGTGTAACTGTTGGATTATAGATTTAAGTTGCTAAGTAGTGTTTGTTAAGTAAGCTGTGAAATAGTTTTTTGAATTAACTTTTATTTTTTGTTATTCACTACTTGTCTAAATTTTTCATAAATAATAATAATAATAATAATAATAATAATAATAATAATCCATAGTCCATTTGAGTCTTTTTCTATTTTTTAAAAAATAAAAAATAAAAAAATCTAAAAGTATAACCTTAAATTAACATGTCCACAGCAAAAGCTGATAATCAGAAGTAAGGGGTGAACAGCTTCTCAGAATCAACTTTTTTGAAATAAAATAAGTTGCTAGAATAAGAAGTTGTTCAAAATAAATTTAGCCAAACAGTCCAAAATAACTTTTCCAAAGCTAAAATCTATAAATTGGCCAAAATAAGCCACACCAAACACCCCCAAAATCTTGGATTCTACAGCACGAATAAGAACAGGCTTGAGAAATTTTCTTGAAGTCGATGGTGGTAAATATAAAACATACAGTATTTGGGAAAGGAATGCCAAGCCCTAGCCTCCAATGTGTGTCATAGGTCTATTGGGTGTCTTTGCAATGTCGAACATTCCAGCATGAGAAGCTTTCTTCCTCTTGACCTGAAGCAAACAAGAAAATTTTAATATATACATATATTGTATACATGGATCTTTTCGAAATTGGAAAAACAAGGGTACAAGTTAAGCTCCAGGTTGAAAGAACATTTTATATCATGCATATGAGAAAAGTTTATGATCAATTATTTGCCAATATGCAGCATTCACAGTACTGTCCAAACTCCAAAAATAAAAGCTTTGATTTGAATGGGATGTGAACATCGAGAAGAAGCCTCTAAAAGTTCAACATAGATGAATATGTGCATACTATATAATTAATTTCATCGCGAGAAGAACGTGTACCGCTGCCCCAATTATTTCCTTGAGTTCATTATCATCAGCACCACGACGAAGGGGATCCCTCAAGCTAACCTGAAAGAACGAATTCCAGTAAGAACAGAATTGGGTTATGCTACTCAAAGTCCAAACTTGTATAATAAGAAGCCAAAGAATTGTTATAAATCTCATATGACAAACAACAAAAGCACAATTCGACCCAACCCAACTAAACAGTAGAACCTAGTAGCATCCAACTAACCAAACGCAGACCACAATGAAGCCTGGACTCAAATCTTCCTTCGGAAGTGTTATTTTAAGCATTAAGGAAAAAAAAAAAGAAAAGAAAGAGAGAGAGAGAGAGAGAGAGAGAGAGAGAGAGAAAGAAGAAGAAGAAGTAATAATCCTAAACATTTTTTGAGTCTATACATGCACTATATGTGACTACCAAGGATTTGATTATGACTAGAATAGATGAATTTTGAGTCTAGTAATCTTTGAATTAAAAACTTCACCTAGAACCATTTCTTTCCTTTTCGAACCATTTCTTCTTTCCTTTTCGTTTTATTTTATCCCCTCTGGGAAAGCTAGGAATCAAGTTATTTATATATGCTGTTAATGTCCATTGTCTACAAGCAGAGCAGAATTAGTTATCTTTGAAATATGGTTTTTTTTATCTTAAGAATAGGAATCATTTCAATTCCTCTATCACATAAAATACCAACCACTGTAATAACCTTGGTTGACTCAAACAAACGTGGGCAGAGCTACATACACTTTAATGAGGTCACCAGACCCATTCAAATTTGAAAAATGTTACCAAACACCTTAACCTTAGACACCTTTATCATTTTATCTCTTCAATTTCTCTTTCTGTCGTCCCTCACCCCATCCCACCCCCACTGCCACTTGTTCTAGTCTTGTGTCTAGGTTATAGGTATCACTATGGCCCAATACCTGATTATGGTTAATCATATAGATAAGGAGCAGTGATCCCCCCAAATATGACTTTTTCCCAAAAATGCAATTAGTTTCCATTCCTTTGCATCTGTTTATACTTAAGTGTTTCCCACATCAAAAATAGAATTTTAGTTTTTTAACATTATATATCCCTGCCATGAAATCCAATGATTGCAAGTTCACAAAAAAGCTTAGTCTAACTCTTGGAGGGGCCAACTTTTAATTCTACCAAATTAATAGGTATAACCTCTACTATTAGAACTGAATGAACATGTTGCATCAATCGCAAATAACCATGCATCGAAGATGAAGTGGTGAATCATAGAACTAAACTGCTGAATTTTGAATCGATCAATTCACTTTCTATTTGCTGAATTCAATTTTTGGCTTTTTATTTATTTTTATTTTTTTACTGGAAAGGGTTCAAACAACCTTTTTAAGGTCTTCACAGTTATTATGTTTCATCCTTTGTCTTTCTCTCTCCCCATTTAGTGTCAAACACTCAAACCCTAGAAAAAAAAGACTTTCTTTCTCTATAGTAACATAAGCTTACATATTCAACTTCAAAATTTTGCACTTACAAAAACAAACTTTTTGAAGGCATCAAGTGAGATTTTGAGAAAGATCGGAAATTTGGATACTTAACCCCTCTTTCAAATGAGCTTTCTTATTACTTCATTTGTAAAACTTTATTATTGAGTTATTTTTTCTTTGAAATTGAGAATTTGGGTTTGATTTACTTCTTTATTAAGAAAGGTTAATAAGAAAAATCTAAAAGGGCGAAGTACAGTGGTGATCCTACATGGGACCAGGTACGGTGTTACTTATTTTATGATGAATCTTGAATTCTAGTTTCATTCTGATTCACTTATGTAATATGCGATCATAGATCACGGCAAGGCTGGGACCCACATATCTTGCCATAGAAGCATCTTACCTATTAGACCACATCTCTTGTCATAAAAGCAAGTGTCTTGCCTATTTGACCACATGATTATCCCACTTCACCACACACTCCACTTCACCTAACCCACTATCACCTCCACTACACCTACTACCACATTTTCTTCTATATATAGATTGTATAGGAATTGTAATTAATCTATCTTGTAATACAATATCAATCTTGTAATACAACATCAATTTTTCTTACACTTATCATAAAAGCAAGTGGCTTGCCTATTTGACCACATGATTATCATTCAAAACAACTTTCATTGATTTAAGTCTAAATTTTCATATAAAATAATATAAAAATGCATAGATATATTTTTTTATAAATTAAAAATTATGACCGAATCTTTGCGATTCACAATTCGATTTGATTAACGATTCGAAAAAATGCAATTTCAGTTCATGATTCGGTTCATGATTTGACAACTATGTAAAAATCTTGGCATAGCGATGAGAGATTATCAAGGATGTTACACATAAATTCAAACAAGATGGATAACAAGGACAAGTGATATAAGCTTACATTTTAACCAATGCATAGCTATTAAGGCTAGCCAAGCTTTTGGAAAAGAAAATGTTCAATATACAAGAAATAATTAGTTCAGCACATTAGAGTTGCTAAGGGAAAAATAAAAAATGATGCCATACATTTATGGGAAGTTAGACATAGAATGAGGAGAAAGCTAGTTGGACTCATTTCACAATCTGCAATGATTTCATCTAGAAGAACAAACAATGTTTTAAGTTCAAGGCACTGAAACAACAAAAGAAGTTTGATCAATTTTGTGAGCCAAGATATGATGACCTAGTATTTTGGAAAAATATAGCTCTCGACAAAAGAGAAACTTGAGACAAAGTTCTGAAGGTTCTCGCAGTGAGGCTCTACCAAGTAACCAAGTTAACTTGAGTCATATGAAGTCCTACATTTGGTTCTCCTTGCTACCAGTTCAGAACCCCATAAGAATGCTGATTACATACATCCCACCGTCCAATGGAAAAATGTGTTTACTTTTATGCTCCGAACTTCAATTTTAAGAGGAAGTAGTGAGCATGCTGCTCCATGCCTAACATAACAAGCATCGGGCGATCGAAATGACGAACAAATGTTACATGTAGACGACATATAAGAAAATAAGTTTTTCACAATTTAGATTGACAAAAATAAGTGGTGAATTGGTGATATAAACACACCATTTTACATTCAAGTAAGATAGGTGATAAGTCAGAAGGTAATTCACCTCTGAGGGGCCAAAGAGGCAAACTTTAAAGTTCCCATCAGCTAAAAGTCGCAACCTATTGCAACCAGCACAAAAATGTTCAGTCATTGATGTTATGAAAGAGACAGTGCCCTGATGCCCATCTATCCTGAAATTCTTGGCCGTATCTGTGGGATGGCCTTGGATTCTCTTTAGCCCTGTAAACTGTTTAACCTGTTCAGTAATGATGAATGATTTAGGGTGTGTACAAAAGAACCTTCACAAATCTGAACATGTTATCATTCATCAGAGTTCTACCTTACCACTCTATCCAACATTTCTGAGTAGGGTACAAGCTTCTTGACATTCCAGACATTTCCATCAAAAGGCATAAACTCAATAAACCGGACATTAATTGATTTCTCACGAGTCAACTCCACAAAATCACAAATTTCATCATCATTGAATCCACGCATTACAACACAATTCACCTGAAATACAACACTATATGTAACTAATTTTTGTATCAAATATACCATCACTGCAAAAGAAAGATAAGCATAATAGATTGGCAAAATAGCATGCAACTGAAGCAACAAAAAATTAGAAAGAAGAAACATACTAATAAAAACTTTGAGCTAACATACTTTAACAGGATTGTATCCAAGGTCTATGGCAGCATTAATCGACTCCATTACCCTTGCATGCCCTTTTCGCCTGGTCATAAATTCAAATTTTGCAGGGATCAATGTGTCTAAGCTAATATTCAACGCACTCAATCCGCATTCTTTTAACTTTGGAAGTTTCCTTGCTAGAGTGATCCCATTTGTAGTCATGGCCAAGGTCTTTAGCCCTTTCAAGTTAGACAGCTGTAAGCATATTTCTTCAATATCCTTCCTAGTGGTTGGCTCCCCACCAGTCAAACGAATTTTGTCCACCCCAGAGCTGATGAAGAGATTTGCCAGACGGATAATTTCACTTTGCGAGAGAAGTTGAGGACTAGGAGTGAGTTCTAAACCCTCAGCTGGCATACAGTACTGACACCGTAAATTACAACGCTCTGTCAAAGAAATTCTCAAGTAAGTGTGTAGCCTTCCGAAGGAGTCAACCAGCATATCAGAAACAGAATTATCTTTTGGTGTATCTTCTGATAACTTCTCACATGAAGTTTCATACATCTTCGTCAAGGATCCAACTAGATGCCCATTTAATAAACCTTGACCATTACTATTTCTCATTTGGGAATATGATTTGATTTTACAATTGACCTGGTTATAAGAAACGAATACAGTTAGCTACTTGCAGTTTAATGATTCAAAGAGCTCTTTCAGTAAGTTAACTAGCAGTTCACATGTCAACTGTCATGAATGTTGTGCCCAAGAGTAAACAACAAAAGCTCCATAAATTGGCACAAATTTCATTCCAAAAAAAGACCAATAACAAAAAGAAAACTAAGCCACTCAACATGAACATGAGTGCCATGCAAAGAGGCTAAGAAGGCTTGGAGAGTGGCTCCTCTGTATGCTTATTGTGGTGCTTTTGGAGGAAGAGAAATAGGAGAACTTCGAAGATTTACATATGGCTATTCATATATAAAAGCCAACTTCGATTCAGTCTATTAATTTTTGGCTGAAGGAGGATTTTTGTGATCCTCCCTTTTGTTGGTAGACTTATGCAATAGTTGCATTTCGGGGAGTGTATCTAAATTTTTAGGGTTCTTTATACTTGGATTGGTTTTTTGCTCCTTCGATATTTAGGGATGCATTTTTTCTTTTAATGTACACAGGTGACGCTCCTTGGCATCTTTGTAATTTATTCTACAATTATAAAAATAAATTAAATTAAATTAAAATTTAAAAATGATCTTTTGAATATTTGTTTAAGCATCTAATAGAATCAGGAAATTTTATAAAAGCTCACGCAAGTATTCAAAAAAAAAATTTGTATACATTAGATTAAAATTCAACTGGGTTCTTGACAAATACATCCTATACCAAGAAGCACAGACACTTCTATAGATAAGGTGTCGGGCACTAGTGTCGGACATTATAGACAATTCGTTCAGAGACACTTCTTCAAACCTCCAAACATCACCTATGTGATGAATATCTTCATTGCATCTAATAGAATCAGAAAATTTTATAAAAGCTCATGCAAGTATTCAACAAAAATATATATACATTGGATTAAATTCAACTAGTTCTTGACAAATACATCTATACTAAGAAGTACAAACACTTCTATAGAGAAGGTGTTGCGTGTTGGACACCAGTGTTAGACACTATAGACACTTCGTTCGGAGACACTTCTTCTAACCTCCAAACATCACCTATGTAATGAATCTCTTCATAGTAACAACATTTTGCAGTCTTCATTATGCAAATTGTATACTCTATATGTTTTGAAACATTTATAAGATGAATACGTCATGTGTATTTCAATAATCTATAATTTTTTTTGCATTATTTAGAATGTAATTGTCACATGAATGATGTCTCAATGTTTAAGTTATCAAATATATGGACTTTTAAAGTTTTATGTTTTTTTTTTTTTTAATTACCTTTGAATGAATTATCCATATATTTAACATAAAATAAATTTTTTTTTTTTTAAAAAAAATTTAATGTATCCCAGACATATCATATCTTGTTTTTTTCTTAAATCTCCGTAACGGTGAGTGTGGGTCTTGTCGTATGTATGTGTCTATGCTACTTTACATTTATAATACACAAGGGTCCTCTAATCCACAGAGCGAGAAGAAAATCATAATATCCACTGCTTTGTCCTTCAAATATGATGAGACCTACACCATAATTAAGCCCAACTACACTACAGTGTCAGTTTGTTTACATTTATATGACAGCACATTCATCCACTTCTCATGTTTCTTTTATATTCAATGATGCAGACTAAAAGCTTACAATAGGAATACAAAGAATCCATTTATCTTCTTTAAACAAGCCAGTTAATTAACTACATAAGGAAAGAAAAGAACCGTATATAAAACAAGGACTTGAAATAGTATTCATGCTTACTGGAAATTATTAAAAGAAGGTTTGTTCTAGAAAGCCAAACATCATATAAGTGTATTCTGTATAAGCACAAAATGTCAAAAGGAAAAAAAAAAAAAAGGAATAACAAAGAACAAAGTTGTAAGCTAAACAAGTGTTTCCAAGACAACACCAACAAGAAAAATCCAAAAGATACAAATTGTTGTATTTAATTCAACAATGGGCGCAGAAATGAATTTTGTTGTGTTATATCACATGATTAACACAAATTGTACCCCAAAGCATGTCCAATCATGGCCAATAGGCAGTAGCTTTCATCAATTGATTTGTATTAGCACTACTAAGTTACCAACAAAATGCTATAAATAGAAGATAGTGTTCTTTTCCCAGCTAGGGAAAAGGGTATACAATACAAGTTGTTTTGGGCACAAATTTGAAATTTAAGTTGGAGGGATTCTCCATTTGCACGCCACAAAAAATCTTATTACACACCATTATTGTCCGGATATAACTTCCGAACAAAAGTCAAATGTTGGGACATGAAATTTTGAACAAAAAATGAATGCTTCAAATTTTCATTTCGTACAAACAATTACTTTTAGTTTGGAAGTTTATATCTGACCATTTGACTTTTATTCGGAAGTTTATATCCAAACAGCATAAATGACATGTAGTGAGATTTTCTACGGTGTGTGAAAATTACGCTTTAAGTTGAGCTGCTAGGTTGTAAATACACACCACACATATATACATAACAGTTTATAGAATTTGATCTTCTTCTTTTTTTCATAATAAAAGGCTGAAACACAGTCTTGGCAATAAATTTGTGGGAAACCATAACAAATATGCGAATAAATGATGAAAAACAGGACTTCTATCTAAATCATCACATTACATGGCATAAATCAAAATCAAAATCAAAATCAAAATCACAAAAATAATATGGAACAAAGTATAAATGCAACAGATGTGTATATATAGATGTGAGAAGGAATATATATAAATATATATACCGGGGTAAGTCTTGGGAAACCGATGTGGCATTCAAAAACAGTGGAGAAATAGCGCCACATGGTTTGAATTGGGGATTTTGAGCAAGTCGAAGAAGCCCTAGAGAGAGATGTTGAAGACGAAATGGAACACGTAAGAAGGAGAAGATGTCTATCCTTTCTGTTTTTTATTTGGCTTTGTCCTTTTTCAGTGTCACATAGAGAATCGTAACAGTTTCAATTTAAAAGGTCAAAGGACGGTCGTTAAAAAAAAAAAGGCAAATTACATATACCCTCCAAGTTTGTCTAAATTACAAATATCCCTAAGGTTTGAGAAATTATAAATACCTCCTAAATGCTATATTTACATAAGAAATTAGGGGGTAATTTGTTATGAAATATAAACTTCGGGGGGCAAATTGTTATGAAAATACAAACCTCGGGGGCGGGATGTAATTTTCGAAATCTCAAGGGTATCTGTAATTTAGCTAAACCTCAAGGGAGGTATATGTAATTTACCCAAAAAAAAAACTAAAAATGCGACCAACGCTAACGAATCTTGGATAGGGATGATAAGGGGTCGCGGTTATATCAGAGGGACCAGAAATTATTCGAATATCGTGGTTATGTGTTTATTTAATGAGATTATATTTTAATGTATTTTTTTTTTTGGGTCGACAAAAAGAGAAATTTTATTGGTAAAAGAGTAAAGTGTAAGATACAAAACAAAAACAACCATAAAAAGGGAAAGGTGCAAAAGTGTCACGATAAGTTAAATCATTCCAATTATATTGGTACCAAAAAATCCATCCTATCATTTGCAAACACTCTCAAGTTGGTGAACAACCAACCAGAGAACCAGAGAAACCACCACAAAACCAATAACACAGTATGGCAGCCTAAATCTAACAGCATAGCAAACTACAACTGAGCAAAGTAGACCAGCAAAAAGAACTTGAAACATAGCAGTCCACAGTTGAGTAGAGCAGACCAACAAAAGTAGAGCCTGAAACAGGGCCAAAGTAGTAGCAGCCCCACACCACCTGAGCCAAAGCAACAGAATTTGAAGCAGAGTAAGCCGAGACAGAATCTGAAGCAGAGCAACAGCAATTCCACTACAGGGTCGTACCGGACACACTACAAACAGCTTCTAACTTGATGAATATTAAACACATACTCGTTCACTGTGTACCCTTGCCCAGTTGAGTAAGTTTTCAGCAAAATGGTCACTCTAACTTTAATAAGTATTTAATTCAACAATGGGCGCAGAAATGAATTTTGTTGTGTTATATCACATGATTAACACAAATTGTACCCCAAAGCATGTCCAATCATGGCCAATAGGCAGTAGCTTTCATCAATTGATTTGTATTAGCACTACTAAGTTACCAACAAAATGCTATAAATAGAAGATAGTGTTCTTTTCCCAGCTAGGGAAAAGGGTATACAATACAAGTTGTTTTGGGCACAAATTTGAAATTTAAGTTGGAGGGATTCTCCATTTGCACGCCACAAAAAATCTTATTACACACCATTATTGTCCGGATATAAACTTCCGAACAAAAGTCAAATGTTGGGACATGAAATTTTGAACAAAAAATGAATGCTTCAAATTTTCATTTCGTACAAACAATTACTTTTAGTTTGGAAGTTTATATCTGACCATTTGACTTTTATTCGGAAGTTTATATCCAAACAGCATAAATGACATGTAGTAAGATTTTCTACGGTGTGTGAAAATTACGCTTTAAGTTGAGCTGCTAGGTTGTAAATACACACCACACATATATACATAACAGTTTATAGAATTTGATCTTCTTCTTTTTTTCATAATAAAAGGCTGAAACACAGTCTTGGCAATAAATTTGTGGGAAACCATAACAAATATGCGAATAAATGATGAAAAACAGGACTTCTATCTAAATCATCACATTACATGGCATAAATCAAAATCAAAATCAAAATCAAAATCACAAAAATAATATGGAACAAAGTATAAATGCAACAGATGTGTATATATAGATGTGAGAAGGAATATATATAAATATATATACCGGGGTAAGTCTTGGGAAACCGATGTGGCATTCAAAAACAGTGGAGAAATAGCGCCACATGGTTTGAATTGGGGATTTTGAGCAAGTCGAAGAAGCCCTAGAGAGAGATGTTGAAGACGAAATGGAACACGTAAGAAGGAGAAGATGTCTATCCTTTCTGTTTTTTATTTGGCTTTGTCCTTTTTCAGTGTCACATAGAGAATCGTAACAGTTTCAATTTAAAAGGTCAAAGGACGGTCGTTAAAAAAAAAAGGGGGAAATTACATATACCCCTCGAATTTTGCCTAAATTACAGATACTCCCTGAGGGTTGAGAAATTACAAATACTCTCATGATGCTATATTTGCATAAGAAATTAGGGGGTAATTTGTTATGAAATATAAACTTCGGGGGGCAAATTGTTATGAAAATACAAACTTCGGGGGGCGGGATGTAATTTTTGAAACCTCAAGGGTATCTGTAATTTAGCTAAACCTCAAGGGAGGTATATGTAATTTATCCAAAAAAAAAACTAAAAACGCGACCAACGCTAACGAATCTTGGATAGGGATGATAAGGGGTTGCGGTTATATCAGAGGGACCAAAAATTATTTGAATATCGTGGTTATGTGTTTATTTAATGAGATTATATTTTAGTGTATTTTTTTTTTTTTTGGGTCGACAAAAAGAGAAATTTTATTGGTAAAAGAGTAAAGTGTAAGATACAAAACAAAAGCAACCATAAAAAGGGAAAGGTGCAAAAGTATCACGATGAGTTAAATCATCCCAATTATATTGGTACCAAAAAATTCATCCTATCATTTGCAAACACTCTCAAGTTGGTGAACAACCAACCAGAGAATCAGAGGAACCACCACAAAACCAATAACACAGTATGGCAGCCTAAATCTAACAGCATAGCAAACTACAACTGAGCAAAGTAGACTAGCAAAAAGAACTTAAAACATAGCAGTCCACAGTTGAGTAGAGCAGACCAACAAAAATAGAGCCCGAAACAGGGCCAAAGCAGTGACAGCTCCACACAACCTGAGCCAAAGCAACAGAATCTGAAGCAGAGTAAGCCGAGACAGAATCTGAAGCAGAGCAACAGCAATTCCACCACAGGGCCTTACGGGACACACTACAAACAGCTTCTAACTTGATGAATATTAAACACATACTCGTTCACTGCGTACCCTTGCCCAATTGAGTGAGTTTTCAGCCAAAGGGCCACTCTAACTTTAATAAGCACACAGAGATCTTCACAGGTATGTTACAACCCATTGAACAGATAATCATTCCTGCATTTCTAGAGGGACCATAAACCAGCAATTAGGATTGATCTCCAAAATTACTTTTCCTTTTTTCTAAACTTCCAACCCAACCACCAGTGCATTAGCATGACTACTGAGCTAGGGGAAACCCAATACAAACCCCACCACTTAATTAGGTTGGACCAAACTTTCCAAGCAAAAGGGCATAGCAACAGAACATGATTAAGTGATTCAATCTCAGCTTAACAAAACACACAGTCAAAGCTAACTGCTGCACTAAGGATGCAATTCTATGTAAGTAGTTAGAGGACTTTATCCTCTCTTTCCAAGCCAACCAAGAGAATAATTGGGCTTTAGGAGGAAAGGGATTGTGCCAAATCAAATCAGGAATTTCCAAAGTAGGTCTATTCAAAGATTCACACCATTTAACAGCACTTTTGACACTAAACATACCTGAAAGATCAAATTTCCACCATAACATATTAATTGATTCCAATCTCAATGCAGGGCCCTCACCTAAGACAACCCTTAATCTCTGCAGTTCATCTTCCTTCCATGCCAATAAGGGCCTTCTAAAGCTAAGTTCCCAATTGTTTTGATGACTAGCCCTAGTCAACTGTAATTGTAAAGTGATGCCTCTATCCTCTGATAAGTAGTAAAGTCTAGGAAATTAGGACTTCAAGCACCTGGTTCCCATCTAATTATCAACCCAGAAACTAATTCTTTCACCATTACCAATCTTGATTTCAATATTTTCCAAATAATAATTGAACAAGCTACTATTAGAATCACTAAAAAGAATGATGCCACTCCATACTCGTGAGATATTATTTGCCTCCATATGAAATGGAAACCATCTACCTCCTTCTAACTTATACTTGCTGTAGATAACTTGTTTTCATAATGAATTGTCTTCCTTCCCAAACCTCCACCACCACTTAGCAAGAAGGCTATTATTCAATATTCTTAAGTTTCTTATGCCCAGCCCACCTTGCTTCTTATCCATGGTTAAATCCTTCCATTTTACTAAGTGAACTTTCCTTCTCACATCTGAATCACCCCACAAAAAGGTTGTTTGTATCTTGTCCAACTCTTTTGCCACGCTTCTAGGCAGCCTAAAGAGAAACATATAGTAAACAGGTAGTGAAGAAATGACAGATTTGATTAATGTTACTCTTCCAGCAAAAGACAGCAACCTCCTCTTCCAACCTAACAGTTTCTTCTTAAAATTGACCTCCACAGGCTTCTATGTTGCTATCCTAGATGGGTTGGCTCCTAATCGCAATCCAAGATACTTCAATGGGAGTTTCTGATATGTACAGTTCAGCTTAGAAGCAAAAATTTTCACACATTCATCAGATAACCTTACTCCATAAACACCACTCTTGTGGAAGTTGATCTTCAACCTAGAGATTATCTCAAAGCATCTAAGTATTCTCGTCACAATTAACACTTCAGACCACTCAAGTTCATAGAAGATAATTGTGTCATCCGCGAATTAGAGATGGGAGATGTTGATGGCATTTGACCCAATGATTACACCTTTGATCAAGCCCAGCCCTTTTGCTCTTGCAAGAAGTAGGTTTAAACCCTCAACCACCATATTAAATAGGAATGGTGATAATGGATCACCTTGCCTAAGCCCTTTTTTAGGACAAAATTCAGATGTGGGTGAACAAAATTCAGAGATTTTTGCTGAGGAAAGACAGGTACGAATCCAATTCACCCACTTAGCACCAAACCCTAAATTTGATAGCATTTGGAGGAGATAGTTCCAATTGACTGTATCATATGCCTTTTGGAAATCCAACTTTAATATCAAGCCCTTTCTTCTTGATTTTTTCCACTAGTCCACCACCTCATTGGCTATCAATACACCTTCTAGGATATTCCTACCCCCTAGAAATGCAGATTGAGCATTATCTATAACAACAGGAAGCACGTCTTTCAATCTATTAGCAAGCACCTTGGAAAGAATTTTGTAAGTGGAGTTTATAAGACTGATAGGCTTGTAGTCTTGAATTCCTATGGAATTGACTTTTTTCGGAACCAATGTAATAAATAAGCTATTTAAGCCCCTAACCAAGCTACTGTTAACCAAAAATTCCTTTATAAAAGTGATGATATCATTTTTCATAAATTTTCATCCTTTTTTTATAGCAAGTCATGTTAAACTCATCCGACCCAGGTGTCTTATTTCCATCACAGTCTGCCACTGCTGCCCAAATTTCATGTTCATAAAATTCCACATCCAAACAGCTGAATGCTGGCTCTGTGCAATCACATTAAATGGGCCCAAAAGCTTGGGTCTATACTTCCATTGCTCAGAAAAACTTAACCTGAAGTGATCATACACAGCTTGTTTGACCTCAACAAGTTCCTTCACTAATTCCCCATTCACTGACATGGAATCAATTGCATTGGTGTTCTGTCTTTTAGTAGCTATGATGTGGAAAAAAATTGTATTTTTATCTCCTTTAAGATTCCAGTTCAGCCTTGACTTCTGTAGCCAAATTCTTTCCATCATCTTTCTAAGCCTCCACACTTCACCCCTTACCTCTCTTCTCCTTCTACCTTCAACCTCATCCAGGTCTCTATTTTCAACAATTAGATCTATGGCATGTAGGTTCTCGTCAACTTGCTTCAGTTTAGAGTCCATATTCCCAAACACTTCAGAATTCCACTACTTTAAAGATTGTTTAAGTGCCTTCAACTTAATTTTCAGTTTGTACCGTGCCCAACCTTCCACCTGAGTACCCATCCATACTTGTTTCACTACATTTAGAAAAGAGGGGTGAGATGCCCAAGCATTGATGAATCTAAAAGGCTTTGGGCCCCAATTTCTAATATCCTCCATTAGGATAATTGGACAGTGATCTAAGATGGATCTAGGGAGACCCCAAAGTTTGTATCTAAACCATTCCAACCATTCTGGCCCAACAAGGAACCTGTCTAGCCTGCTCTATCTCTCGTATTCCGTTGAATTACACCATGTAAGTTTTCTTCCCAACATAGATAAGTCAATCAGTTCAAGACTACTTATGAAATTATAGAAATCTGTCATTCCCCTATCCCTTGTTAGACAACCCTTTATTTCATCTATTGATTTGATTTCATTAAAGTCCCCTCTATGCACCACGGTTTGGGAAAAACAACCTTAAGATTAAACAAAGAGACCCATAAGCTTCTCCTAGCAATCACATCATTAGGTGCATACACATTCACAATCACACAGTCAAAGCTATTAAAAAAGGTACCTGATAGTATGATAAAACTCCTGTTACAGCAACAGTCAGCTAGAGAAAAAACTTCAAGCTTCCATACACATAACAGGCCTCCAGCACTTTCGTCAACATCCACATTCATAGAATCAACTAGGTCATTGGTCCAGATAAACTTCACAAACTAATCTAAAATGTTTTCCTTTTTTGTTTCTTGCAACAGCACCATATCCACTTTCCTTTCTTTGATAACTGCTTTGAGTCCCCTCCTCTTCTCAAGCCTACCAAGCCCTCTAATATTCTAAGAAATAATCTTCATAAGCATTTACTATTCACTCTTGAGCCGCCCTTGATGCTGAACTAAACCCCCATCACTCCTAACAGCAGCCTGCTCTATGTCATTCTCCTCCATTTCAATTAATTTCTTCGTAACTTCATCATCTTTGCCTTCGAAATCAATGCCCAAATTTTTCCCAAGTCGAATAGTATCTTGGGCCTCCTTTAATAACATATCATAATTGCTGGATCTACTGTTATGGGACAATGAATAAGAAATTGCAGCTGCAACTGCTCTAAAGATGCCCCTCTTTGAAACCCCCTTTTCATCACTATTTTCCTCTGGTTTTTCTTACTTTTTCCTTTGCTCTCCTTGCCTTCTATTATCTTACCGAGTTCATTATCTGGTTTCTTTGACTATCTCCTTCATTACTGACCTCAGCCATACTTTTTCCATTTTCCACCTGGGCTTGAATATGTGATGGGGCCAAGGTCTCAGCAAATCTGCTACAACTACGACCCAGCCTAATTGATTTAGATATGCCCCTATTCAAGTCATTCAGCAGACCATCAAAATGGGCTTAATCAAAAACTACTTCTAGATTAATGCTTGGCTTTGTAGGTCCATTTCCACTTAAACTTCTCATAAGCCCATCAAAACCCAATCCACCTTCAACTCTCCAACTTTCTGTTACTGATCTCTGCTCGTTCTTCTTGATTGCTTCCAACAATCCACCTTGGCCCATATTGTCCTAATCATTTTGACCTTTACCAGCAACACACTCAACTGAGGTATTAGGTATGCTTCCCTTGAGCCTTGTGCACTGACCCTCTTCTACTCTAGGTCCCATACTGCTACGGGTCTCGTTTACTAAAGACACAGCAAAGAGACTATTATCTCCGCCCGCAGACTCTGCCACCAATCTGTTATTTCCATTTGCAGCGTGTGATACATCCTTTTCATAGGCCACCTGATCCCCTTGTTGCATCACGTCATGCACATTTTTCTCCCTTCTTCTGCGACAATTTGAAATTTGATCACTGCCGGTGATGCCATTAATAGAAACACCCCTTTCTTTGTTGCTATGGCTTGGGACAAAGGCCAAGTTAGGACCAAGCTCTTCACTCACTCTGATTGAGTGTATATGACCTCTATATTCAAGGTTTACTACACTGTTGATCATCTCCATATGTGATGTAAGGATCCTGATTTTATCACATGCCAAGGATGACATCTTGAGGGTGCTCTCATTGATGTTCATGACCTTACCCCAGATCTCCCCAATCTTGATAAAGTTAGCTGAGTTCTAAAGATTAGGTGGCAAACCATAACAATTCAAACCCACGTATCTTTCTTGCTCAATCTTTAGTCCCTTCCTCCATTCCATCATTGATTCACACCATTCGTGGATCCAATCCTTAAGATTCTTCATGCCTTTGTTCCTAACCTCTAGTGAAGAAAACACTAAGTATGCAACTCACTTACCACCATCCTTCACTTGCACATCAGACATACCTCTGTTATGCAATTCCTTCTTTAGATCAGAGCATTGATAATATGACCAAAGTTTTACTATCACACTACCATACAACCATCCATTTCCATACTCTATAGCATTCATTGAGATAACTTTCCCACTTGTTACTTTACCCCCCATCACAACTTCTGCATAAGGCATCCCTTTTGCGCTGGGGGCTTCCACTCTCATCTACCTTTTTCCTATTTCCACTAGTGGTAAATGATGAAAATCAGCTTTTGGCTTGACTTTGCTTATATTCTTTGTAAAATCAGCTCACTTAACCTTCAACACTCTGTCATCACACCAGGTATCATGGGCTTTTTGGATTGCCATTTCAACTGCTACTGAACAGTCACACCGAACAAAATTGAACTTGGTTCCTGTTGAATGCCTCTTCTTACTGGGTATGAAAACATCTATGACTACCCCAAAATTCGTGAACATATCGTACAACCCTTTTGGATGCATTGAGTCCGGTAAATTGTCGACAAAAACATTATGGACTTCACCCCTTGAGTTTGATCTGCTACCAATATGTCTCCTCTTGAAGACTGGTCTCCATCCTCCCAACTTTACCCCGCGCTGCTCCATGTATATTTTAGTGTCATATAATTCTTAATCTTTACTATTGATTAGGCACACTGTTAACTTGAAATTCCCGACAAATATGAAATTACTCCACGGACAGCCTTGCCAGGGATTAGAAGAGGTAATGACTCGTGTTCGCCTGAAATAGTAATACTATAATTTTAAACAATTTATATTAAATTTTATTTATAAATATCAATTTGTATCTCAAATTTACCTATATAATACCAATTTAATCTTCACTATACAATCACAATACCTAAAAAAATATGGGTTGAGTTTTCTCAAACAGTAGCATTAATCGAACTGAAAACGAAGTGAGTAGTAGGAGTAAATATTGTAATAGTGATACCACATAGTTGTATTATCATTCAATAAGTAATCTTAATGTGTAATAAGAACCACAATAATGTTAGGTTAATAGTAGACAAGACTTGTCTATTTAATTCCTTTGTGACTTTTTATTGGTCGATGACATCCCCGTAAGATGGTGTCACCATTGTATTCAACACTTTTCAATCAAGTTTTTAACAAATTGGACATAAGTTGAGTTCGAATAATTTGATTTTTATAGTGCATATAAGTTTAATAAATTAAGTAGTAAGTTATTCAAACTCAACTTCAAACTTAACAATTTTTAACTTGGCTTGTTTACGTAACAAGTGATCTCAAACAAGTTTTTAACGAGCTGAACTCGAGTAGCTTGGTTCATTTAACAACTCTAACTCCCTAATGAAATCATGAAACACCACTTCGAAACTACCTAACTATACAACTAACTATGTGTAAGAGGTAAAAAGATGAAGTTTGATATTCAAAATTCTTGTTCAAACTCCAAAAGCGAGAAAGCTCCAAAAGTCAAGACTACAAAATGATCAATCAATTGAATTTCCCTCGAAAGCTCTGAAGGAACAAAATGCAAAGCAAGCAAGCATAATTTCAATAGCCAATGACAAAGAAGTCAAGATAAAACCTTGATCCACATGCCAAATAGTCAAAGATGGCCAAGAAACTTGAGAAGTATAAAATTCTCAGATAAGTGCAAAGTGCTCGAAGATGTTAAAAGTCCCATAATCATTTTATAATAACATTACACAAAGGCCAAAGGCAATAAACTCGTTTGATGAAGCCCTAATGGGCAAAAGGAGTCTAAACTTAGCCAAAGGCATATTATCCTCGGTAAAGTCGAAGTCCTCAAGAGAAATCCATTCCTTGAGCCAAACATTTGGACTCGGAAAAGTTAAGAACCATGAACCTAGAGACCTGAGTACTTAGCATAGAAAAGGTTTAATGAATCCAAAAGCCACTCCATTAAGGGTCCCAAAACAATTGTAGACCTGAAACCATTTCGAGATTGACATATCAGAACCATGATATGGCGAGTTTGAAAATGGACCCTCTATCAAAGATGGAGAAATCGGAGATAAATTCATTCATCATTCAAATTCGTCCATACACAAAGTTGAGGTGGCAAAATTTAGGGAGTTCCCTTGGAGGCATCTTTGCGGCAAGGAAGTTCTCTTGGACCAACACTGCCCTTATCTTGGGATGGTAGAAATTGCTAGTTAAAGGCAAGATTTCATTGAGATATTGGTAAACCTCTTGAACTTCCCATTACTCTTGGAACCACTGGAGGGGAATGACATAAGGGGTTTGAAGGTTGTATTTGTCTCAACTAGGCACTTAGAAAGAGAATATTTCCCATGTGGTCCCTTAACCACGTAGCGTCACCAAATCTATTGCTTGGTCTCCAAGCTAATCTTGGGTGCTTATATAAATGCTTATCCATAAATCTACCATTTATATATGAATTAAGGAGTGAGATTGAGGATATTTTGAAGCGATGCTCTATCAAATTTCTTTCTCTTCATGCTTGCCTTACTTTTCACCCAGTAATCATCTCTTACATTCTCATCTTGAATTTGATCTAATCATTGGCAAATCTCTAGCCTCTTATCTCTTCTTTGGCAAAATCCATTATTTCTAGCGATTTTTGAAGAACCCATTTTTCATACCCCAGGTAAATGTTGACGTTTTGGTAGTTTAAAGGTCAA